TTTTAATGGGTTTATATTTTTTTATGTAGATATTATGAGTTCATCCACACATACCAAGTGTGCTCCAGCTACTTTTCAATGTTAAAGAGGAATTTAATGAAGTTGGATTGAACTTGAGTTGTAACATATATTTGGATTGAATTTGGGTTTTATTTGGCTTGTAATTTATTTTGGAATTTATTTTGCTAAAGTTTGATTGAATTTGGGTTGTAATTTATATGTTGTTGAAGTTTGATTGAAGTTGGATTGTATTTTTATTGAAGTTGGATTCATTTTGATGTGTTGAAAGCTTGATGGAAGTTTAAATTTTGGGTATTTTAGTATATAAATGCATTTCGGGCAGATCTGGAAAAAATGTAAAAAATAAAATTTTGGGCCCAGCAAAAACCGGAACCGCAGGAACCGAACCGGAACCGGACAGGTCCGGGTTGGTTCGGATTTTTGTTTGGATTTCTGGCAGAACCGGTCCAAACCGAACCGGTCTGCAATTTCGGTTCAGGTTCCATTTTTTAGAGAAAACCGGTCCAAATCGGACCGTGCCCACGCCTAGTTTTTACAAAATCTCTGAGTTTTCAGAAATTACATGAACACTTCCTCAAGTTTTAAATTGTTTTTACAAAACCCCTTTTTCATTGACTTTTGGTTCAAAAATTAATAATTTTCTATAAATAAATAAAAATATTCTCCAAATGACAAAGTTGGCCTTTAAGACTTAGATTGCATATATGTCATTGATGTTAATTTTGTTATTTGTATAATTTATTTTTTCAATGAAATCATCAATTTTTGGACGAACAATCAACGAGAAAGGATTTTGTTGGGAAAACAAACTGAAATCTCACTAGGTGTTCGTGTAATTTTTGAGAATTGAGGGGGCTTTGTGAAAATATTTATAAAAAAAACCTTAGAGAGTGGTAGTATAAATAATTCTCAAATAGCACTTGGAAAATTTGGAATTTATGTGGAAAGATCAGGACATTGAAATTTGAATGGTGATGTTGGTGAAGTACGTGGAACAATCCGTCTGGAAGCTCAAATTTTTCTCATTGGTGGGGTTTATAATTTCATATTCTCAACCTTTCATTAAATGTGTTGGTGAATGCAATATATATGCAATCCAACAGTCGAGATTGAATGGCTTTGTTACTGCTTCTTTACCTAATTAGTGAATGATACTTTGATTGTTATGGTCCCCAAAGTAGAAAAACATGTCTTTATGGCTCTACTCAGGCCTATCAGTTTGTCTTTATGGCTTTACAAGGTAGTTTTTAAAATCCTTGTAGGCTTCGATCTTGTATGCCTAAACTTGTTAGTCCAATCGACAAAAACCTAAACTCTAAACCCCAAACCCCAAACCCCAAACTTCTGCGCCGCACGATCTGGGGGGGAAGGAGGTCCTCTCCTCCTCCCCTTCCCTCCGGTTCCTCTTCTCCAGCCTCCCAGCTGCTTGTGGATCTCCCTGTGGAGATCTGTTGGCCCGTCTTCTCCCCTTCTCTGTGGGTGTGTCGTTCTCCCCTTCGTGGGTGTGTTGTTCTCCCCTTTGTGGGTGATTTGCTCTGAGGCTTTATGCCTTCGGTTTTCTTGTACCCAGATCCCCATTTATCTCTCATCCCTTGTATTCAGTTGTCCCCTCCTCCATCCATTTCCTTTTATCTCCCTCACAAACTCCATTCAAATCCCTTCTCTACGGTCTTGGTCCTTCCCACTGAAATTTTCTCCTCCTTTTTGATCTGGCTTCACCTTGTGGCTGCTCCAATTAGCCGAAAACGTGGTTTTCCGCGCACAACTCTGAAGATGTGTAGAGGTCGAGCTTTTGCTCTTTCTCGGGTGCATGCACCACCTCCTTCTACTATGTTGATGTTTATTTGGTTCTTGTGTTTCTTCTGGTGCTTTGTCAGGTTTGATTTGGGAGGTGATGATCTTCTTGTGGCTGGCTTCTTTTTTCTTGACTGTGTCTTTGTAATATGTGGGATGTTATGGTATTTGGGTGGATCTGTGGGTTGTGCGATTCACTCGCTTTGTGCCCCTCGGGTGTGGCAGCTCTTCCCCTCAACTTGTCCCGGTGATGTCGTCTCAGGCGATGGCGGCGGCGGTGGCTCTGTTGAATTTTGGTTAGGGTTTGTTGGCCTTGATTTGGGCTTGTGTGGGCTTAATGCCTTTTAGGTTTTTAATTTCTTGTTGGCTCTTTTGCTTTTTATTTGGGCCTCTGGCTTTGTTGCTTTGTTAGTGAGCCCAGTTGGTTGGGTCTCACTTTTGGGTGTATTGTTATGCCCCTTTGTGGGTTTTTAATGAAATCCACTTTCGACCACAAAAAAAAAAACTTGTTAGTCCAACTCAAGTTGTTCAAGAAGACAAATTGAAGAAAATATTGTGGTCTTCCCATCCTCGCATGTGACCCACATACCCAACACACCACTGCACCGACCCCCTTCTCTCTCTCTCTCTCTCTCTCTCTCCCCGATTTGCCCCCTCTACACGCTACTGTAACCTGCATCATTCCCACAACCTAATTCCACTATCACCTCATGAATCATAAAGTTCCCAAATTCATCACATACAATATGAAAGGCAATAATTCAAGAAAGAAATAAGTGAAGAGGTCCAAAAAACAAAACAAAAAACAAAAAGGTCTAAAAGAAATGCATCTAAACCTTAAATAAGAATGTAATTACACAAAGTGGAACACAAGTGTCGGCCAGTTGCATACACTATTAAAAAATTGGGGAAACCATGATCCAAAGGCCATAAAAAAGAGGGTCATGTCATTTTGAATCACATTGGACACATATATGTCATATGTAGAGAAAACACAATAGTTTTGTACCCAACTTGAATAGACGAAGGAAATTATTGTGCTTAATTAATTTAGGCACAACTTTCGCGGCCTATAGAGGGCACAAATAGACAACTTTTGTGCCTAATGGTTATATATATATATATATATATACTTTTATTTTTTTTAAAGTCTCATGACTTAAATAAAGCATGGATACTAAACTTTTGTGCCTTTGTACTGCACACATTCCAAAGTATTGTGCTTATAGAGCACGAATACTACAATTTTGTCTCTTTAGGTTGCCTATAAAGCACGAATACGGAAAATTGTCTCTTTAAGTCACATCATGTCTTATAAACCGAGAAGCTGGATATATGGGCCACATTTATATCATTCGTGCCTAAACAATTTATTTTGCACCCATATTATAGTCTATATAAAATGCTTAAACGTACATCGTTTCCAATTTCAAACCAATTTGTGCTTAGTAAAGAGTACAAATTCCTGATTTTCATGCCTTTAGTATATATTTTTTTTAAGAACCAGTTTTGGTGGAAATGCCAAATTTTTTTATTTATTA